AGAGTATAGTATCGTTCAGTTGAGATTGATGATTGACCTTGTTTCTTGTTCTTCCTTTGTTTTCTTTTTTTGTCACATAAGACAAATCAATTTAATTTTTTTATTTTTATTTTTTTGTTGTTTTGATCCATAGTTGAGAAAAAGGGGCAGATATTATAAGATTATTTTCTTCTTTCTGCTACCTTTCATTTCATTTTTTTAAATTAATTTTTCTTTGTATTGAATGAAATGAAAAATTTTCTTTGTATTGAATGAAATGAATAAATAAATAAATAAAAAAAGTTGTGTTTTCCGTTAGCAAATGAGGGTCATTCCCCTGTTTGGACGGTAACAGCGTGGCCTTTTCTCCATTTTCTCCTACCTGCACTGTCCGCTGTCGGTGTCACAGCTCACGTCCAGGGACAGCAGGCCCGGCCGGGAGCAGTTGCAGACCTCGCAGCCCACCAGCGGGTGGCAGCCGAAGGTCTGGGGCTCGCAGCGCGTGCACTCGGGCAGCACCGTGCGCGGGGGGCAGATGCAGTCCCCCGTGGTGGGCTCGCACAGCCTCTCGCCACAGTTACAGGCTGGGGGGGAAAGAGGGGAGCCAGCTCACATCCATGCAGGAGAACACCGAGATACAGTCATTTGACTATTATAAATTAATAAAAAAGCACATTTTTAATCTGTTTGTCATAGGATATGTTCTACTGAGTCTTTAAATGAGCAGAATTATCATGTGTGACAGTAGTCAACACTATTATTTGCACTCATATGTTAGTTTGACGTCTTTTTTTACACAGTTTGAACTCATTAGATGTCCATTTTATAAGACCAGCAGAAAAAGACACCAGAGAACAAACATCCTATGTAAAGAAGACATGGAAACGTGGGAAAAAATCCTTTTTCAATAGCGGAAGACTGCATTCTCTCTGTCTTGGAGGGAATTTGGGTGGAATTTTTGTGTTCCAGCGCAACACATTTACATGTGTTCCATGTATTTTGGGACAAAAAAAATATATTGTGAAGAAAAGAAATTGAAAATTGAGAAAAATCCTGAAAATAATGATCCTATCAGAGTTTGAGACATTAGGTCTCGGGCTACGACCAGATATAATAGTGATATGTATTGCCAATATATTACTGTTGGCAAGTAAAAAAGCAAGGTCTGCAAAAGACCCTCCCCAGTTGAGGACTAGATTAAAGTTGTTAAGGATATTTTTAAAATGGAGAAGCTTACATTCAACCTTCAGCTTTGGCTAAAAAATTCTGAAAATCACTGGGAAAAATGGACAAACTATCTACCAACTTAGAGACAAGATACTGGATGAAGTGATAACTCCACTCACTCACTCCACTAATTTGGTTCTAGTTTATGTTTTTGTTTCAGGAATTGAATGCAGCAAAATAACTAAATTTAATTTCCTAAAGCTTTCATTTGAGTTGGTGTTGCTTGTGTCACCAGTCATTTTACCAACCAAAGATAAGCTGCTGTTTGGAAGAGAAAACATGGATACGGGTTTCTTTTCCTGTTTAACTAATCTGTTTCTCTTTTTGCTTTAATAAAAATACTTGAGAACCTGCTTACAATGTAAATACAATGTAAAGTACGGGTCAGAGCATCATGTAAGACCTGTTTTTCTTCAAATAAAAAGTTTAACTTAAAAAAAATGAAGTAAAAAAGACGGAAAAGGGTGGGACACTCACGTCTGCAGTTGGGGAACCCCCAGAATCCGGTGGCGCACATGGAGCAGTCCCGGCCAATCACGTTGGGCCGGCACTGGCACTGGCCGCCGAACTGCTGGCAGGTGTCGCTCTGGGCCCCCGCCTCGTGGCAGCCACACGGCAGGGCGCCGTTGTTGAAGAAGGCCGACAGGGAGACGGCCGAGGCCAGGCAGAACGGGGGGGCGGAGGAGGGACTGGAGGAAAACACACACAAAAAGAGACAACGCCTCAGCCGGGATGATTCAGAAAAGGGCCGAGGGGAGGGGGGGACGGACGACAAATTCACTGACTTGATGTAAAAGCTGTTTTGGCCACAGTTGCTGATGAAGTCGTAGGATTTGTCCAGAGGCTCCTCGTTCAGGTAGCTGGAGCTGTAGCTGGCCTCGGGAACCACTAACACGTAGTCCTGTTGGACACATTATGTCAAATAAAATTATATATTCTTATCCCTGTTACAGCGGAGGAAAAACTCCATGGTAAACGTTGGAAAATCCAACTCACAGGACAAAAATCTGTTCATTCTCCTGAAATATATAATTTATTCTAAGATAGTACACGCAAATGTAAAGATGGTTAAGACTGCTTTAAGGTTTTATAAATAGTTTTAAGCCCGATCCAAGAATAAAACAAAACAGAAATGACTTTTTTTTGGTTTGAATTCCTTATTTGGCCTTTTAGCAAAATATGTAAAAAGAAAAAACATTTTTGATACTAATAATTTATTACTATGCGATAAATCAAGATTATTTTTTGTGTAGTCTTCTGCCCCCTGTTATCAGGTGTATCTGATTGTGTACAATAGGATTTTGAGCAAAGTTTTTACCATTAAATTGTGCAAAAGGTGTCAAGACGAAAAACATTTCAGAAACCCTATGTATCAAATATGATACATTTGGTATTATAGGGTTAAATGGCTCCCCCTCAAATTTATCCCACTTCTGACACCGCAATAATTTCCAAATTCTGGGATCAATGAAGTTGACTCCTATCTTCGCCCCACTTGAGCTTTAAAATGGACACACAGACTAAGAGTTTCAGTCATTCCTGACCCCACAAGGGCAGAAAACAAATGAAACCTCTTTGTTGGAAGTCCTGCAAAAGACAAAAAAGTTCAGGAACCAACGGTCTGAGAAACAGAGCGAATACTGTACCAGCCACAGCGTCTTCCCAGCAGGTATGTGCACGGTCAGGAGGAGGTCGTGGTCAGTCACGTCCAGGATGATCTGGTCCTGGGAGACCAGCACGTTGCGGCAGCCGTAGGCGTGGGGGCAGAAGGAGGCGTTGGTCTGGCCTGAAAGGCAGTCAGCTCAGGCCGTCAGCCCCCGGAGCTTTTCTCTGGACACTAGGACCTCTGTCCACTGTGATGGTGGGTGTGCTACAGGACGACTGGACTCACCCTGCCAGATCCGCCCGGCGTTTATGTCCACCGTCACCGGGTAGGTGGGATGCTGAGGCTGGTGGTAGTGAAGGATGAAGACATAGCGCCCCGGGGAGGAGACACGGGCCGAATACACTGCTGCATTCTGGGAGAGGAGGGAACAAATGATTATAGTTATTATTATTATTATTAGAAATAGTAGTAGTAGTAGTAATAGTATTACTATTATTATATAAGAATAGAAGATTTAATTTTTTTTGCTATTTTATATATTTATTTATTTTTAATGTTTTTTTTAAAAAAAATAGGTTACTTATTTCATTGCCAACTAGTCTTCCTAGATAACATCATGCTTTAAAATAAATACATAAATAAATGAATGAATAAATGAATAAATAAATATTATTAATAATAATATTAATAATAATAATAATAACAATAATAATAATAATTAAAAATAAATAAATAATAATAATAATAATAATAATAATGTAATAATAATAATGTGTAGGAATAGTAGATAGTAGATAAATTATATATAACTTTTTAAATAAACTTTTTCATGTAATTTTATATAATACATTTTAAGTTTTGCTCAGTTCAGCTAGAACTACTCTATATAACATCATGCTTTTAATAATGATAATAATAATAATACTAATAATATATAGGAATAGAAGATTTAATTGTTTCTTACAAAATCTAACTTTTTTAATATACTTTTTTATGTAATTTCATAAATATTTTTTTTAGTTTGCTTAGTTGTCTTCTTATATAACATCATGCTTTTAATAATAAGAAGAATAATAGTAATAATAATAATAATAATAATACATGTTAGATAATCCCTTACTTTAAAACAAGATTATTTTGAATATAGAAAAATTTGTGTAATTCTGATTCTGTCACTTGGAATCAAATTAGCTCAAGAAACAGTAAAAAGCAGCTTAGCGTCTGTGATGGAGACGGGGGGACCCAGGACCTCCAGGACCGGCTGGTCTGATCACACTAACGCACCTGGAGCGAGTCCAAACGCATGTGGTCGTTGTTGTCCGCCCCGAAGGGCGGCTTCACCCCCCCCATCCAGCCCGGCTGGTCTTCCTGGAGGAGGGTCAGGGAGGAGGCCTCGGGGGGGGAAGCCTGGACCGTCCCCTCCAGCGTGGACGAGCTCTGGCCCTCTTTCAGGACCACAGAGTCCGAGGGGGTCTGGAAGCGGGACGGGACGCAGGAGGAACTGGAACAGGAGAGAAACAAAGATGGTTACGG